GAGTTTTATACAGAATATATAAATATGTGCATGCTGTGTATTATGCCATGGCAAGTCAGTGAAAGATCCTTTTGAAATCATGCAGAAGCCTTGAGATACAATACACTAAATAGCTACATACCTTTTTAGCAAATGAGACTGAATGCAAATAAAGCTGAATTTGTTGCAATTTAAATTAGCTAAAAAACAGATAGCAAATCAAACTATTCTAAAATCAAATGTGATGTTCTGTATGCATCTGCTACCCATATAGAAACTGATCTGGAGAGCACTCAACTAAACCATTTGACACAGGAATCCGCGGATAACTTAGCAACATTTTCAAAGATGCAGCTAACAAGGCAATAATTTTTGTCTGACATGAGGGCCTACAATCTGTTAATGTTCAAGCTGCTTCTATGGAAAATATAAGCGAGTACATAAATCTGGTGAAGCTTGACTCCTAACCAGGTGGGGGATTGAGATACCCTGCCAATGCCACAGACTGCAGGATGTTTACATGTGTTGTTCCAAGGACACACTGATAACAGACTGATGATACACATGGAACCATTTGGGAGATATCAGGCACACATAGCACAACAAATGTCAGACAGCCAGTCACAGCAGGGTTGATTGCAGTATGAGGTCAAACAAACTCAATACAGATACAACTGAATTCTGATCTGTATTATTAAAATGCAATTGTGTACAAAATACAAAATGCAGCCAAAAATGTTATACAAGTAGTCTTGTTTTGATTACATTCAGGTGACAAAGACTTTGCCTAAAACAAACCAAGCGCATGGGAGACCATCAGTTGTTCCTTGATTACACGCACAATCAGCTGCCAGGAAAAATTTATACCGAGCAAAACTGAAGAGGTTTTGAGATTCATTTGTATTTAAACAAATTTGGTAAAAACAGAAACAAATGATACATTAATAGACAAAAAAGCTCCAGGTGCCCACCAAGGATTAGGTTATCTCGAATTCTGCTTCCGTAGTCCCTAATATTACAGAAACCTATTTGTTACACAGAATGAAGTTTAAATTCTTCTGCATTTTCTTATTATGACTCACTGCAGTGCAATCCCTGCAGGCACATCAATACTCTGTACAATGTCCGCATCAGGAACTTGCAGACTCTCGCTTGAATTTGGTTCACTTCAACATGTGTTCGGTGACTGACATGTACATACCATAAATTTACTCGGTTGCAAAATATGATGGATACTGTATTTGCTCTATTAGTAGTTTATAAGCTTACAAATAATAGAGCTGTGTCCATGCTCGCATTTTAATGACTCTGCACATAATTAATGCAATTTTTGGCTAACATGTGCCTATATTTGGAGTGCACTAAAATATGTCCACGATTTGATGTCATATGCAAGACAAATGTATCACTTGGCACAGAAACCCACACATGGAATGACTGACAAGATGGATTTAATTAATTTTAGCTGTACAGAGTATAATGTGCCTTTAACATTGTATGCTGCTACACTACAGCAAATATTTACAATCAAATGATATTGCATAGTAAAAAAAACAGGAACCATGCCATGTGCTAATACAAGCATTCCTTTTTAACATGCCAGGAAAATTAGACACTTCTGGCATAATACAAATCCCAAATTATTAAGATGTTAATCAGATGGAAAAAAATGTTTGCTACAGGTGGCAAATTATTCTTTATAAGGTAGGATGATTGAACTACACAACCACACCTATGGCCTAATGAAACAGCCCATTTTTTTTTCACTTTGGGGCAGGAATCTGGCATCAATCTTGTAAAGGAATGACACGACATTGATTGACTACCTTATCAATCAGCCCTACTAAATAATCAGAATAACCATTCTTTGCAGTCTATGCATAAACCTAACATCAATATTCTAGCAATAACGCCTAGCTTTTCAGTACAAAACTTTTCAATGCAGCACAATGAAAAAGAATGTTTATTTTAAGGACCATTTTACAGCAACCCTGGTAATACAAAAGACAGGGCCATGCTAGCAATTTTGAGAGTGAGCTTGTATTGAAAATTCAAGAAACCTACCAGAATTATATTAGAAGACCCAATATTAGGTAGTAATAAATCAGGTATAGATGATAGTTACTTCATTTAAAATCTAAATATTACTTGTCACAATGTACTGAAATGTCAGTCACTCAGATTTATTTTCAAAATCTGAGTATTAAATTATTCATGACTGTCTATTCAGCATGAAAGGTTAACTTCCAAAATGCAATTTCTCATTTACGAGAGTGATTCAAATCTGATGAGGCAACCACAGGGGCCAAATGACAGGCCTCAATACGGCATGGTGCAGAGTGACACTGCCGTCAAAATTAACAAAACAATTGTAAAGGCAAATCACAATTTTAAGTCCTGTACATCAAGAAGCAAGAGGACCAGAATATGCATTTACTCAAAGCCAACTAAAAATCAGACATTCTATTTCACACTTTTACATTGTACATTGCCAGCAAATTTATTGATTTCAAATGCAACTAATTCTTGCATCTAAAAGTGCTTTTAACCCATTACCTAGTGAGTAAATCGGATGGCCTTCCTCAAATGAAATATTCAAAAGTAACCGAAGAGACAGGTACATTGTGAGTTTGACCTTAGGTGGAGAATGGAAATTAGAGGATTAGAAAATCTCATTGGATTGCGATTCAATGAAACAAATTAGTTTGGGGATGACAGGCTTCATTTGTATGCAAAGAATATAGTATCAGAATGTTGAAGTAACAGAATGAATTCTCAGGTCAGTGGGATTTCATTTCATTTCAGAGCCTACTCCCACAATAGATATTGTGGACAAAAATATATAATGTAACTTGTACAGGTAGTGGACAAATACACAAAAAAGAGTAGAAATAAATTCTACAGTTTATTTATTTTTTCTTTACTTTTATTAATAAACTATGTGCTGCAATAAAGGCAGCTGCATTTGTGTTGACCTTGACTAGTCACATAAAATAACATATAGTAACATTGCACTTTTCTAAAACTTTCATTAGTATAAGCAATTGAACTACCTCTGATTTATAATGTTGTGTTTGGTCATCAGTCTACACATTATGTCACTCTATTAACATCTATTACATGTAAAATGTTTGTCCTTTAACGATTATCCATCTAAAACAATAGACAGGTATTAAATCTTGTGTTACCAAGGCCAATCATTGTTAAAACTAAGTCCAGCCATTCAAATTTAACAAGGCCATTAAAAATGGCTATTGAAGGAGACCCATTCAGCCAGATATAAAAAACACACTATGACAGACTTGCACTCGCAAAGGGACAATACCTAACGTAAAAACCAATTCTGACTATCATGAATAAATCAAGAAATTCATTTGCAAGTCACAATGAAAAGGAGCTCTGCAAAAGAAGATGAACTGAACATAATCTCAAAACATGTACAAACTTAGAACAGTCAACTCTGTCGAGCAGTCTTACATTGGTACTAAGTTGACAACCATACATTTAAACAACATTGAACACAAGACGTTTCAATGGTTCAGAATATCTTTCGAAAACTGTCTACTTCTATTCTAAAATAAAAATGTTTTCACACTGATATTAAAAGATGATTGGAATTGCTCACAAAGAATCTTTACCACGAAACTTAGATATAAGAAAAAAACTAGCATGGGGAAACCATTGATAACAGTGTTGTAAACCTTGCTTTTGCCATGGTTACTAAGAGGAGTCATTTCAGGACTCTGAACTGAAGCTTTACTTCACTCAAACAGCGGAATGTTTGTTGTGTTTAGATTAACAGATATCGCCCACAGGCCACTGATCAAGTTTCCTTCTCCCAAGCAGTGTGCCATTTTTCCAGCACACATACCAAAGTATAGTGATTTCCCACTGATCTGGTCAAATGTCAGCAAGTGTAAACTGATTGCGTTCCTCTAATTCACCCTATTTTTCCAGATGTTTTTACTTTCAAACTGGCTAAGAAATCAATTTTTAGTACCAGGACATGGAGTCTAGTGTGCCCTAAGTCTAAATATGTTTTTTTAAAGCAGTACACTAGACAGCTGACACAGTTTGATTATTTAATTTATCAAAGAACTTTTTTTCCATACTATCAACGCATTCCAGGCATAGAAATCACTAAAATTGAGCATATCCTATCCAATAAATAAGATAAAAATCTAATAATATTCTAAACGTAAACTACGTTTATTTTTAGACTCGGAGGGATTTTAAAATTAACATTCCAATCCTTCACTAGTGGGTAAACTACTGATAATTGCTTTTGGGCGATGATTCAGCGCCGAGGTCATTCCCAGCTTTCACCCTTTAGTTCCTTCCGACCTTCAAAATGGGAGACTTCCTGGCCGCTAACAAAATCAGATACTATAAAAAAAAATCGAAGCGGTGACCACAAACGTGTAATAGTATAAGTAACTTAATGTTTTTGACGTTTACATTTTAAATCCTTTAGATATTACCAAGAAACGGGAACACATTTTCCCAGTCTGCGTATGAATTTTGCATGGCTGTGATTTAGTGGTTATTATGAAATATCATATTATTTGTGGTAACTATCAATATTCTTTAACTATCAATAAACTATAAGTTTTATTTTGTTTTATTCTTGACAATCTTTTCTGACCAGCCACTTGCATCAGTCATAATTTTTGATTTCAATAAACACTTAAATTTATTTGCCCATTTCTTCTACAAATACGCCTTTGTTTACAACAAGGGCAGCCTCTGACAATCAAATTAACACAACAACTATGTTTCTCTAATGATCATTCAACACAGGAATGGTAAAACGTGTGAAAACTGAAAAGAAAATTAGCGATATTTCGCCGGCACGATTACTGGCACAGGCGACTAATATTTCGTTGGGACGCGTAATCTCGCTCGATCAAACGAGTCAAAGAAAACCTGCATTCCAACGGTTTATTTGTCAGTAACAGAGATCTTCTCCTACGTGAGAGGGTTGTCGCCAACCAACGAGGGGGAAATCCTGAGTAACCTACCGCTAGATCCTGATTGTCTTGTCCAATGGTCCAGTTATCCACTGCTCGAATCACTCCAGCTCGCCAATCCCACTCACAGATCTTGTTGAGTTTCAGCTTCGACAAGCTACTGACACACAGAAATCGCTTTCCGACAAGTTCCGCACGGTATTCAATACCCATTTTGGCAGTCTATGATAACATTTTCCATGAACCGCCACGAGTTTTTGGGTGAAATTCTGCTGAAATTTATCTTGAAGTTCAATACAACGACTCGCGCTGAACTAGGATCCCAGTGTATGAATATAAATTACTACGTGTGATGTGTCGAGGTCAGAGAAAGGGTCATCGATAACATTTATCTACTTCCGCTTACTAGAGCGTTGGCAAGCAAAGTAGTCCCTAAACTATACCGTTAAAGCACAATGCTGTCGACTAGAACATCAAAATTGTTTTTAAAAATACGTATACTTTTAGGAGGAAATACAATGCTTATCTGAACGATAAAATAAATCAATTAAATATTAGTGGATGACTCTTGCGCTATCAATTTTATTTCTTTCAACATAGACGCTGTCATTAAAATCTTAGAACTATTTTTGAGTAATGTTCTGTGCAATGCGATTATTTCGCGTAGATATTGAATGCCATCTTACATGTAGGAAAAACTTGATGGGGTATATAGATGGGAGGGTAGTTGGCTGAGACCATTTGTTTACGTCACGTGATCCCGACAAGGCCCAATGAATTCAAACAACAAGATGGCGGATCATTAACTGAACAGTTGCAAGGATGTGTTTCCAGATCTTCGTTTTTTCTTCAGTTTTGTCGCTTTTCATGTAACCTTACTGGCCGTTTCCTGTAACCAGCATGGTTTCGTTTATTATTTCTCGCCTCGTTATGTAAGTATGATTTTTATTTTCGCCCTGATCCTCCTCTAAGCTTAACCCGCTGTTGTGTTTTTGACGAGGGCCCCATGAGTTTGAAAATGACGATTGAAGTCATCCATCCTGTTTGTACTTGTTGACCGTCACTGTTGTCTGTCATTCTTTCCGTTCTTAGCTGTGATGACTTCCTGATACCCAGTATCGTTTATTTTTTAATAGAATCAAGTGTTCAACCCCAGACATTTCGGTGAATTTTCTATTTTGAATGTTGAAAATATGCGTTGTTTTCGAAAAAGTACGTGATGAATCAACTCCCTTTTAATAGTGATCGTCCATTTTTGGCGTATCTTTTTTTTAAATTTGTTATTTCAGGCAACTCAGTTATTTAAACTTAATATATACATACTGATTAAAATAATTATTCAACTACTCAAAAAAACTTGAGTGCCAACACACTTTTAGTTACAGAATGTTAAATAACAGGAACATTTTAATATTTTTTGTATTCATAATAATTCATTTAATGTGTTTCTCCTACCACATTGTTGGCTATAATTATTCCCAATGAATTGGACGATGTATTTATTTAATATTACCCATCATGCCTTTTGTTTTGCAATAAATTTGAAGGATAATGAATCAACAATGGTGGGCTATAGGCTGGTCGTCTGACCATGACATAATCATCAATAATTTGTTAGTCAAGCTTCATCTTCAAAAATTCTGCTGAAATATTTATTTTCCTTGAGGTGTCTATCCAATACCTAAAATTGTTTGTGATACTCTTGAATTGTGATTGGAGTAATACAAATAATATGCTGTAAATGTCTGCTCAATTCTTGTATGTCAATATCTAACCATGGATTGTATTACCCCTAAATTTCAGCTCTATAGAATTGTTACTTTCAGACCCCTTGTGGTCACATCTGTCTCAACCCTAGGTCTGTGGAAGTAAATTCATTATTTTTGGCTCAAGGAGATTGAAATCATTCCAATCCTTGTGTTTTTAAATAACAACATAGTTGTCAGAGTGCTACATGTACCTTCTAAATCACATGTTTTCTGGTTCCCTGTATGAAGTTTCAGTAAGTGTGACATGATCTCGTCTCTAAGATGACATGTGTTGTGTGGCTCACTCATCGGTCTCAAGAAAATAACACCATACCCTTGTAAAAATATTTTTATAAACATTCAAGTCTCCTTTAGAAAAATAAAGTTTGCTGCATCTGGTGCTTCAGTAATGTCAGTATTGATGTGGCTTCTAGTTTAGTTCATCTTGCATCAAGAACATGGAGAATTTATTTTCTGTGAAAATGTAAGGATGTAAGGCTGGTAGTTTTCCATTCTGAGATACTGGAATGCCTGTCATTTTTTTTAATCAAAAGTCATCACAGAAATAAGAGTTACAGAAAGGGTGTTTTAACCAGAACAGAGCAAATTGTTGATTTACATCCCAATCCCAGTCAATTCAAGACATTTTTGTGCTGTGTACATTGATTACGCTTATGACAACTACTCAGAAAGTGTTTCTTTTTTAAACCTGTGGTAAACTGAGGCATTTTCGAGTATGAAATTGTTAGATAAGTATTCAGGAGAGCAGTGGAGAAGTACATGTAACCCTGTGAGTGCTGACCCTAAAGTGGTGAACAGTATGCAGGAGAAAAATTCTTCTTGAAAATCCATGTCGCACTTGCTCATGTATTTGTTTCACGGTTCAATTCAAAATAGTTTAAATACGAATCAACTCAAGCATTTCAGCTATTCCTGAACCTCATCACGGTCGTGTGTGGATAGTGTTAATGTAAACGTGGTCATGTGACATTGATGCACATTTTCTTTTACAAATTGAATTCAAAATGGCCAATTTGCAGTTGTTAGTACATATATTAATTGACATGTATTCGTTTAAAGTTCTGACCTGTATCTTTTGTAGGACTAGATTCAATTAAGCTTTCAAGATTTGAGAGAGCCTTTAATCTGCCACATGTTTTGAATGTTTGCAATCACCTTTTGTTACTCAGTATGCATTATGAGAAATATGTACACATACACTACTGTATGAACTTACAAATGCAGGGGGACTATGTTTCAACATTGTTTTTGTCGTTGTTGTTGACTTGATAAAGCATATCAACCGTAAATGCATCAACTTCTATCAGTCATAGAGAATTTTCCTGGAAATAGATAAATGTCTCAATTTAATAGTAGATAACAGTGTTTTACAAGTTGAGATGTTTCCTGTTTAAAGGTTTGAGGCCAAATAATGGCTTATCCACAGATACAGGCTGTGTTATTCGGGTAACCATTAACTTGCATGGTATGCAAATAGGTGGAAATGCTGGCTATTTTGGTTTACATATTACCTTCGAACTTTGAACATTTCCCCCTATGTGTATTTATTTGGTACCAAAAAGCTCAATATTATGTATACTGAAAAAAAAATGGCAAAAATGTCAAAAACATGGCCATACAAATAATTTAATTCTGATGACAATGAATAAGGTTTTCCATCTCATTTTAATGCTCGTAGATGACCTACTAAATATGTTGTTGGCATCATATTCAGTAATCAGTTATGCGTTGCATCCCATCTGTTGCTTGACTAGCCCCATTGTTAATTGTAGAGCAAGCGTAATAAATGTATACCAGTGGTTACGTGTACAATTTTGTAGTTTTTTTAGTATTTTAATTAAATTTTGAGAATGTTATTACAGCACATGTGTGGGAAAAACATTGATCACAGCGGTCTAGCGGTCCTTGGTGTAATAATGTAACTAATCAAAAGCATTCCTAGCAGCCCAGCAAAAAAAGCCTGTAGAATGCAAAGTGATGAGAAACATGAGATGCCAGTATATTTTAAGAATAAAAAATAAATTGATGATTTCTATGATATGGATTCTAAAAAGTGGATGAACATTTTTTTTTATTGAATTCTCATAATGGGATATCTCGCTTTGGCAGCCATTTTGATTCGCAAAATTGACATTATTTAGACTCATGCTAAAATTTCAAAACTTAGTTCCAAACCCCTACAAATTTTGAAATGTTTTTGGTATTGGATGGTAGGCTCGTAAAGCCTTGGGTGAAATCTTGTTAGCTTTTAGCATAAATTCGAATTTGTGGTAGTTCTCATCAGGCCAGTAAGGAGAAATGTTCGGTATGAATAAACTCACTAGTTTGATAACAATTTGTGTCAGAATATTGGTTTTCGTTCACATCGCATTACAACTATAAACATCCTGTGAAATAAAATACAAAAGTTGAAGCAGTAATCATGAGTGTTTATGATATGTTTTTCCCTATTAAAAAGTAGCTGCTACATTGGTGTTCCAAAGTCATGCCCTCAGGATCACATGCCGATTGTTGGGACTGTCGATTACAAAATATTTACTTGCCAGTGACATCTAGAATGCTGCAATGTGTACCAAATTACTGAAGTCACACCGCATTCTATGAGTTAGGTGTTCTCAGTGACTACTCAAGTGAGTGTAACATGCAAAACTACAGTTGTGATCAGATCACTGCCTCACTGATTTTATGTTGCTTGGGGTGTTAAAACCCATAGACTAATTAATATTATATCATTGATTAAACAAACAAAACAAAATTCTTTCATTTTTATAAATTTTGCAATTCAAAATGGAATGAATTCTATTGTCAATAGAGTGACATTGGAACAGTCTTCAATGACGTCAATATGCTCTGCTAGGTGATTGGCTGGTTTAATTCAACTACCATTGAAATCTATAAATATTTAGAATAAAAGGAGGGAATGGATTTGTCTTGTCAAGAATATTTTTCAGATGTTTCTCAAAATTAGCCAACTGGCGGCCAATTTGTTCATCAAAAATACTTATTTTTGTTCATTTTTGCCTATTATTTTGACAATACAATTATCAAGTTTATTCTGATTTGATATAGAGGAAGTATATTATTTCACGAAGATGCAAGTTGATTTTTGTCAAGATTCAGGATGGTTGACGAGTGGCCAAAAAACTGCAAATTTTGTTCTTTTTTGCAGATTTTGGCTTATACCAATTATATCCAAACCGTTCAATAAAAGGCTGGCAGCCATTTTTTTTTAAAAATGCACATGCTTAGGCGGAGGTTTTATATTAGGAGCCTGATGTATGTCCTGTTTGTTTTTGCATTTTGACGCAAAATGATTGACTGGCGGCCATTTTGAAGTAATTTCACAGACATGCTTTGACCAATTTGGTTCATACTTGATTAATGCATTTGATCAAAAAGGACCATATAAATGCTGACATTTCATATATTAAAGCACAAGAACAGAGGGGCCTGTGACATTCTCAATTACTTGTTTTGACATTAGAATGCATGTTTTCAATATTTTCCATCTTTTTATATTTTATATCTGCCATGGGAATTTTTTATTTATAATCTTCACCACTGTGTGAGTTCTCATTGGACAACATAGCATATGATTGATAAATTTTACTGATACACTGCATGGTAGACACATTTTTAGCAAGGGATGTTTGTTATCGTATTGTTGTTAATGATGTTATTTAATTATTTTTATTAGTGTGTTGTGAATCAAACCACTACACAAAATAATAAAATCTGAGGATACATATAAAAATTGTTTGTTCATGATGCCCATACTATTTGAGCATGGTAACCTAGCAACCAGTGATCCTGAAACATGGCTCTTAGCTGCAATGTGCTTATTAAGAGCCCCCGCACACTTTTGTGACTATTCTATACTGATTCGTAATTATTTATTTGAAATTCAGCATTTACAATGACACCTTCTAAGGGTTTTTATTTATCATCTCATTTTGATTCAGGTCAACCTTTAGAATTATACGCTGCACCCTTTTGTGTTGTTCTGTCAAAACTTCAACCTGGCTGTTGTCAAAAGATTCTTTTATCCAAGTTCACTGACTATGACAGGATCATGATCCATTGTGTGTTCTTAAAAATAGAACATAGTGGAAAGGAGTATTGTTGATCAGGCACCTCGTTCTGGATCTGTCCTTTCTGCTGTT